ACAGTGATCTAATTCCCTTCAATGGCTTTCATCTTTAATATATTTTGTGGAGTAATTAAGCCTAGCAATTGAGTATATTTGAAGGAAGTAATGTAGTGTAAATGTTAAGATATGTTACAGATAAAATATCAATAATATCTTTCAGGGCATTGAGAATTAATGTATTCCTGAGTCCTTTGAAGATAAATTTAAACAGATATTTCACAACCCAGAGGAAATCATATTTATCAACATATTGGCTTTAAACGCAGCTTTTGGACATCACTCAGTTGGGTTATTTTGGTTGAAAGATTACAGATAAAATATATGAAGCTGCAGTTTGAAGAAAATACTTTAAAATCCTTTAAAATAATATTTACAAAATCAAATTTACTGACTATGATAAGGAATAGCAGATCTGCTTTAGTGAAGGGCAATTCCTTTGTATGGCTACTTAAACATGATAAAAATAATTCTTAAAAAGAGTAGCAGGTTTTTAATGGCTTCCTAGACATCATTAAAATCTATATAAAGAGAAATCTTTATTGAAACAAGAACAAAAAGATAAGCAAGTTTCTAAAAAGTGCAATTCATGCTATTGCTAACTTTCATCCCACAAGGACAAAATTAGTTCTGCTATTTAGTATAGTTTTACTGGAGATTTTCATGAATGTATTATTATAATACAGGAAAATACATTTTGTTTTCAGAAAATTGTTTTCCATCTTATCTGGGTTTTAAATATTGTTTCCACCTTTTTGCTGTTCCCCAGAAAATATATTAAAATGAATTAATTTTCACAGCCCCGTGGAATAAGATGTGAACTAGGGCTGAACTGGGCCTGACATCAAAAAAAGAGAAAAAAGCTTAGATCTAATGCTGTTCATCTTGTTAAAACAGCCACATAGGTGGGGTGATATGCACGTGTATACCAGTGTATTAACTGAAATATGGTAGATTCAAGGGAGAACTCAAATAATGTAACTCCTTAAAAAGACAAAGTCAGGGGTTGGGAATGTGGCTTAGTGGTAGAGTGTTTGCCTTGCATGCATGAGGCCCTGGGTTCGATTCCTCAGCACCACATAAGCAGAAAAGTCCAGAAGTAGCACTGTGGCTCAAGTGATAGAGCACTAGCTTTGATCTAAAGAGCTGAGGCCCAGAGTTCAGATCCCACGACCCCCCCCCCCCAAAAAAAGACAAAGTCAAAATTCAACAAAATAAACACCAGGAAGCATGTCCTAGGGAAAGGTGGGGTGGGTCCAAGGGGAAACTAGTGTACAAATGATGAGGAAAAAAGGTAGAGGGCAGTCAAGAATACAATGTATATCCTACAATTTTTTTAAAAACTTGTTTTTTATTATCTTTCACTTGTTGTTCAATAGACTTGCCATTTAACAAAGCAGTTTGAGAACACAATGCATCTTGATCAATGTCACTTCTTGCAACTTTCTCACCCATCCCTCCCCTCCTCCTACACATTCAATTCTTGATTATATTACCCATCCTTCTCTTTTTTTTTTATTTACCCCTTTTCCCTCGGTCCCACCCCACCCAACCACTTACAAGTACCCACTTCCTTGTGTTTTATTTTATTGAACTTTGTTTTTGGCTTTATAAGGAATTACAATATTTGAGTTCTGCCTTGGATCTACCATATTTCAGTTCACACATTGTTGTAAACAATTAAATACCACCCTCAACATATTTACTTATAGCTTTACAGGCTGATTCTAACCTCCACATAGGAGAACCCTACAAAATTGAAAGGAGTGACAGAAGAGGTGCATAGGTGAGGGATGAATGAAAAGGATAAAAAGTGTATCATGAATCGAGATGCATTGTATTCATAAACTGTCTTGTTAAATGGCAACTCCTTTGTACAACTATGTGAAGATAATTTTTTTTTAATTTTTTTATTGTAAAGATACTATACAGAGGGTTACAGTTACATGAGTAAGGTAATGAGTACACTTCCTATTGAGCATTGTTACCCCCTCCATTGTTTTCTCCCTACCATCCCTTCCCTCCCTACCTTCCCCAAGATTCTTTTTTTTTAATTGTGATTAAGTGATTACATAATTTCCCAAATTTCACAGTATTGTGAAATAATTATACTCATTTAAAGTCACAAGTTCATTCTAACTTTCCTGGAGCAAATTGTCTATCACGGTCTATAACATATAATGGTGTACACATATACACCATACATGTGATCAGCAGCATGGGGATATTTAGTAGTGGTTCGACCAGATGAGTGGAAGTTCTTTGTTTCTTAAGTTCTGTTAATTTTGTCATATCGCCTAACATTTTGGATTTAACATCCACTTATCAGGAAGACCATGTACCGTTTGACTCTTTGCTCTTGGCTTACCTCACTCAACATGATTTCTTCTAGCTCCATCCATTTCCCTGCAAATGCCATTATTTTGTCATTTCTAATGGCTGCATAATATTCCATTGTGTATAGATACCACAATTTTTGGATCCATTCATCTGTGGTGGGGCATCTGGGTTGTTTCCATATCCTAGCTATTGTGAACAGTGTTGCAATAAACATAGAGGTGCACGTGTCCTTGTATATTAGTTCCTGTTGTTCAGGGTAGATGCCTAGAAGTGGTATGACTGGGTCGTAAGGGAGGTCAATCTTTAGCTTTCTAAGGACCCTCCAGACTGCTTTCCAAAGTGGTTGTATAAGTGTACATTCCCACCAGCAGTGTAATAGGGTTCCTCTTTCTCCACATCCCCTCCAGCATTTGTCGTTGACTGATTTGTGGATGTAGGACATTCTGACTGGGGTAAGGTGGTATCTCAGGGTTGTCTTTATTTGCATTTCCTTCACCACCAGGGATGGTGAACATTTACTCATGTGTTTCTTTGCCATTTTTATTTCTTCATCTGAGAAGTCCCTCTTTAGTTCCCTTGCCCATTTAGTAATTGGTTGGTTAGGTTTGGGAGGGATTAGTTTCTTGAGTTCCCTGTATATACAGGATGTTAACCCCTTGTCTGATATATTGCTGGTAAATACTTTTTCCCAATTAGTTGGTTGTCTTTCTAGCTTGGTTGTGATAGATTTAGCTGTGCAGAAGCTTTTTATTTTAAGGTAGTCCCATTTGTCAAGTCTCTTTCCAATTTGTTGTGACCCTGGGACTCTGTTCAGGAAGTTCCTTCCTGTGCCTATTAGTTCAAGTGTCTCTCCTACTCTGTCCTGCAGTAGTTTCAGAGATTCAGGTTTAATGTTAAGGTCTTTAATCCATTTTGAGTTGATGTTGGTGCATGGTGATAGGCTGGGGTCCACTTTTAGTTTTCTGCATGTGGCCGCCCAGTTTTCCCAGCACCAGTGGTTGAAGAGGCTGTGTTTCTTCCAATGTATGTCTTTGGCTCCTTTGTCGAATATCAGCTGGCTGTAGGCCTGTGGATTTATTTCTGGATCTTCTATTCTATTCCATTGGTCTTTGGGTCTGTTTTTGTGCCAGTACCATGCTGTCTTTGTTATTATAGCTCTGTAGTAGAGTTTGAAGTTCGGCATGGATATCCCTCCCAGGTTGTCTTTATTCCCTAGAATTGTTTCGGCTATTCTAGGTCTTTTGTTGTTCTATATGAATTTTTGGACTGTTTTCTGTATTTCAGTGATGTACGTCATTGGGATTTTAATAGGAATTGCATTGAATTTGTATTTTAATTTTGGCAGTATTACCATTATGTGAAGATAATTTTTAAAAGTTTAAAAAAGAAAGAAAATTTACTCTCAGAAAACCAGATACCATTCTTAATCTAAGGGTATTTTGAAATCCAAAGATGATCTCAGGCTTTGAGTTCATTGAGTCATGTATCTTAAAAGCTGTGGTAATAGGCAAAGACAAATAAAATGATGTATACTCGTAATGTACCATGCATTGTATCTAAGTAGTCTTCTGAGTTAGACAGCTGAGAGTTTCTCCTTGTCTGAGCAGGAGAGGAGCTATTGACCTAAACATGAAATATGTCATGCCACAAGAAAGAAATTGATATTGTGGAAATATCAATTCCTTAGGCCTATGCACTGCTTAGAACTTTTTCTTCAAAAGAGTGACTTTTCTCTCTAATCATGCTTTTCAAATACAGGATCTGGCTTGGTCATTTGTGGATTTTTATTTCAATTTTTAACAATACAACATGCATAAATAAATTGACAAAAGTATTGTTTAAATTTTACAGGAAAACACTTCAAAAATAAAGCAATTGTAAGAGTGATAAGAAAATGATTATTCTAATTCATTGATATCAAAGGATTAAAAAATATCAGCATTAAAGAAAACCCTATGAGGGCTGGGAAGGTGGCTCAGTAGTAGAGCGCTTGCCTTGCATGCCTGAGGCCTTGGGTTCGATTCCTCAGCACCACATAAGCAAAAAGAAAAAAGTCGGAAGTGGCACTGTGGCTCAAGTGGTAACGCTCTAGCCTTGAGCTGAAGAGCTGAGGGACAGCGCCCAGGCCCAGAGTTCAGGCCCCACGACCAGACCTAAAAAAAAAAAAAAAAAAGAAAGAAAAAAGAAAAAGAAAACCCTATGGATTGTAGCCTAAATAAAGATCTATTCTGAATGGTACTTTACAAATACAAACTCTGGTTTATATTACAGGGAGGAAATGTGAAGATCATTCATTACCCAACTATCTGCTGAGAATCAGCAGCACCAGATATAGTTCCATGACTTCAGCTTGCAAGAGAGCAAAGCAGATCCTGTCTTTTCTTATGGATAGGCAGTTTTGTTTTGTTTTTTGTTTTGTTAAACCTAGTTGTAATGGGATAAGCTCAAACAATTAGAGATCACATTTACGCATACTGATAGCCTAGCAAATCTCTACCAAGTTAAGCCGGTTCTTGAAAAAGCTAACACCTTAAAATACAAATTCAGAAATAAAGCACACAGTCAAGATAACTAAAAACTACTCTATTCTATGTCCCTTTTTATTTATCACTAAAAGTATTGCATAATAAGGTTTGCTGGGCACAAGTTTTATGCTTAATTCTTTATTCTGTTCATAGGAGCAGATGCTGTAGAGGCTCAGTGTAAAAGGTTTGAAGTGAGAGCAAGCGAAGATGGCAGGGTGCTGTTTTCTGCGGATGAAGAAGAGATTACCATTGGAGCTGAGAAACTGAAGGTTACAGGTATTATGAATTGAGGTCTTAAGACATTATTTAATTAATGGAATAGTGTTTATTATGGAAAGAAAATACAGCTGCACAAAAAACTACTCTAGAGGTCATAGGTGTGTGTATGTGTGTGTGCATGCGTACATTCACTGGCCAATGCACACACGCACACACATGCACACATGCATGCACATATGAGACAGATATATTCATAGCTTTGTTTTCCACTTTATGTCTCAGACCTATACTCATGAGGGTATTTTAGTTTGATTAGGATTTCTCCAATATCTAATAACATATGGATCGAAGATTCACACAGGTTCTCAGATTCACACAGACATAATATAAACATGCGCATTTAAGTGCCTGCTAAGCCTTTAGAATGCCATGTGTTAGTTACCTGGAATACTTCTAAAATAAAGCAACGTAAAGACATCAAAGCCACATATAATTTAGAATTTCATATGCTTAGAAGAGAAAATCAAGTATGGCACAGCATGCGATTGAAGGGCAGAAAGATTGATAAGTAACCTCTCCTATACTTTAAAGCAAGGCTGGAGGCATTTGACAAATAACACTATAAAGAGACAGTGACTTGAGGGTGCTTCATATCAATTAGATAGCCGTGCTGACAAGACTTCAAAGTGACATGTGACACGAGAACTCCAAGAAGTCTATTCTAGAATTGTACAATTTTGGAAGAAAGTTTTCGATTTAAGTAATATCCTTAGGAATTAAAGTTAAATTGGATCCCTTCTAGATTTATACTTTATGAACAATGGCATTTCATAAATGGGCTTTTCTCTCAGGGTAACAGAAGTGCATGGGTTGTTTTAGACAATGGGTCTGTCTGTACATTTGAGGTATTTCATTTATGACTAAAATTTATTCCTGTAACAGGAATTTACCTCAGACATTAAAATATGTCTGGAATGCAGGTGGGTAGAAGTAAAATGTCAAACTCTTACCTGAACATCACCAAACTAAATACCGTGGCTATGATAAGCAACCATCTGCCCCAAATCTGTAATTGATGTGATCATAAATAATTTATTATATTAATATAACTATACTCACTGCCCTTGATATCTCTTTACTATATCAAGGAATGCATAAGAGTTCTACATGTATTTTATGCAAGTTCATTTTTAAAATTATGTTCAGTTTGTATTCCCTCCTATGGGCCAAAGATATTATTTAACATAATTATTTATTGAGCCCTAGTAAACAGATGATAAAAGATATAAACCTTTATACACAGAGGGCTTAAATTTAGTGTTTCCAGGCTGAATCTATCAAACAGAATCTGTACTTCATTTGTATTCAAAGTAGTACAGTAACTTAGGAAAGTGCAAGTATAAGTCAATTGATTCTAGAAGGTGAAAGACTTATAAGTCCTGCAGAATATCATCCTTGTTAAATAAAAAGTTTTAAGTTTCAATTAGACAACTTTACTCTGTGACAGGCTAGGGGACAAACAGCAAAATTTATGCAGAGAAAATAAAATAACAGCGTAATTTGGAACTGCAGTTTGTAAGAATACACAACTCAGTGTATGCTCTGGCCTTAGTGTCTGTTGGAAAGCCCAAACATCACACCTCTATGTCTTTTCTACTTAAATGATTAGATGGACAGACAAGTTTCAATCCATGTTTGACAACAGACAAAAGGATTTTTCTGAAAAGCTGTCCTTTAAATTAAACACCATGCTTCTGGGTTGGGATCAATATTTTCTGCTTTTTTTTTATTATTAGTTGCTCTTCTATTTCCTTGTTCTTGTCTGTTACATTAGCACACTGTGATGAGTCAACCTTGAAATCAGCTTATTAGGCAGGGCCATTGTTCCTCTGAGCTGTCCAAATGCTGAGAAAGTGGTATGGCTCAGGCAGCAGGATATCAGCTGCATTGACTGAATGAAATGTGTTTAGACTAGGTGCAGAGAAAAGTGATGCACCATCACTAAGTTTTCTGTAATGAAGCCTTCCAAGCCTATAGTATAGGGCAATCACTCAACCCACTTTTCCAGTTGCTTCATAAACTTCCTGAAGACAAAGATTGCAGATACACTAAACATAATTATTATCCCATATCCCCGTTAAAATTTTAGGCAAAAATTGACTTGAAGTTTTGAAATGGATAAACAATCATTTCTGCCATTGTCACAAAATAAGCCATTTCCACTGAGCACTTTGGTATAAATCTTCTCTATGACTTCTTTTTCTAAGCGCTCATGGAAATATTCCCAGTTTTTAACTCTGTGAATACAAAACTCAGTGGAAGTACAATTGTATGACAGGAATGAGGGATCAAGTCATAAGATAGGGCAGTTGAATTATACATACAAATGACACAAATCTGTTTGATGTTTTTGAAATTATTGATTGGGGAGCTGGGAAGGTGGCTCAGTGGTAGAGTGCTTGCCTTGCATGCTTGAGGCCCTGGGTTCGATTCCTCAGCACTACATAAGCAGAAAAAGCCAGAAGTAGCTCTGTGGCTCAAGTGGTAGAGTGCTAGACTTGAGCCGAACAGCTGAGGAACAGCATGCAGGCCCAGTTCAGGCTCCACAACCAGCAAAAAAAAATTATATGTATATACATATATATATAAATTGGATGCTACCATTCTATAAATCAATTGTTTGTTTCTTATACATCATGCTTGTGCCCTAAATTCATATTTGAAATATGTACTATCTCCAATAAATGGTAATATATTGCTACAGTTCTTACTTTATATTTGTAAAATAAGTATTGTGAGAAATAAGATATTAAACAATGTATGAAAAAAGAAATGAGTTGAAAATCAAAATATGTAAAGTAGGAATTGCATAATGAATATTAAGAGGAAGGTTGGGAAAATTCAGTCATAATATTCTATGTAAATGTGAAAATAAACAAAGAAAATTGAGGAGAGGAGTGGGGATGGGATAGATGGGGAGAATGATGAAAGGGGTAACGCTGTTCAAGATGCCTTGTTACTTATAAACGGATTTGTTGAATTTGAGACCCCTTTGTAAAACTACTTAAAGATTATAGTCAGGCACCATTGACTCAAGCCTGTAATCCTAGCTGAATATGCAGGAGGCTAAGATCTGAGGATCAAAGTCCAAAGTGAGACTCTGGTCTCCAATTAACCACTAAAATGCCAGAAGTGGCTCAAGTGGTACCTTGACCAAAAGAGCTCAGCTACAGTATCCAGGCCCTGAGTTCCAGCTCTACTACTTCCAGAAAAAAAAAAAAAATATATATATATATAAATAAGTATATATATATAAATATAAAATAACTGTAAGAGTATACTCCATTAGATGTTTCAATTTCTTCAACTATTTGTGAGCAAAGTAGTGATAGAAGATAGCAAGTAATACTAGCTTTATTTCCAAAATAGTCAAGTAATACACATTTTATTTTTATCTCATATAACATTGCATGTGAGTATACTCTGCAAATCACCAGGTAATATAGATAATTGCAGACTGATCCTGGAAATGGAGGTATAACTCAAGTGGTAGAACACCAATCTTGAGTAAAAAAGCTGAGAGGACAAACCCAGTAGCAGGACACACACACACACAGAGATAAGAAATCTTCAAAGGACAGGTTCTTGCCTTTTGTCACAGTATTGAAGCTGTCATAGAACATAGCTTCTGTGCTTCTTCAAAAAAGAAGTGAGAAAAGGGTAATAGGGAGCATAGTCTCATCACAACATGATTTCTTTGTTGCTTTGTATGTCCCTCCCCCACAGTATAACCTCTGCTTTTATTGTATTTGATGTTGGTATAATTTGTGGAGGGGAAGGGCAAAAACAAACCGTTTAAATGGGGATTCAGGTGGCCCCATTGCAACAATGAGATGTACAAGTCTTTATGTCGAAAAACGAACTTTACAAGTTTGGCTTGGAGGGTGCGAGGGGGGGAAGATGGGAAAGGATGAGAAGGGAAACAAAGGAGGAGGCAACAATGCTTGATACTCATTACCTTGCCCATGTAACCCCTCTGTACGGTATTTTCACAAAAAAAATTTTAAAAATATATTGAAATCTGGAAAAAAAAACATGTATCCATTGTATATCCAATTGCCTGTATTCATTGTATATCCAATTGCCCCAAACTTAGTCATGTGCCGGTGCATAGTTTGTTGCAAGTGTATCAAAGACATCCAAATTCCAACTTGGATTCATGTTCCTTGCTGAAACTGGGGATGATTGATACAGAAGTTATTTGTGTAATCACAAATGTCATTAGCTTTAGGGTATGAAGATAATTTCCATGGGAAAGAAGCATAAAATTAAATTTTAAACCAAATAGAGCAATTCTTCGTCATATGTTTGCATCATTATACTTTCTATTTTCAGCTTGTCAATGACTACCATCAATATAGGTTACTCTCTTCATAGAAGCTACTGAGAAATGTTTAGCTTTTGCCCACTAAAAAGAGAATTATTGAAAAGTTAAATCCTAGGTAATGGTAAGAGCCACACTAAACAAGTATATTGAGTTGGATGACCATGCAGCTATGATAGACTGAGACCAAGAGTTGAGAGGATGAGGGGTCAGCTGCACTATGAGTCTTAAAGAGATTCACGGTGTCCAAGTGAATCTCCCTACTGCTGGCTCTGCAACTGCTGTGCTTTCTGAAAGATGATTATGGACAATTCAACTCGCAAGTATCTAAGTCAGCACTTTCTTATTTGTAAAATATCGGGCTAACAAATGAAGATACTCACTAGATTTTCATTGCATTCGGGTCAGGTAACCTGTGTCTGACGTCATGTCTGTCACAGAGAAAATTGTCTATAGTGTTGGAAATATTCAGACTAAGGAAATATTCAAAGACATATAAGAATAAGCACATGTAACATCATCACAATAATTAATCAAATGAGATTAATAACATGCTGATATGTTTTTGTTATTGAATGATGACTATCATTTACATTAATCCATGTACCTATCACTACCTAGGGGTGTCTATTATCTTCATCTGGCAAACTGCCTCAGGTTAAGTGATTGACAG